AAAAAGAGAGTGATGAATGGAAGAGCTGGTGTACGAACGTTGCTGGCGCGCATTGCTTGTTGTGAGGATGTTCGACTGTTTATGGAATCGAACTTCTGATGAATCAATGTCATGCCGGTCGGAAGCACAGGCGTACCGGTCGTTGACTGGCACAGAGGCGAAGTACACTTCTCGTATGCGCATAAGTTTTGCAAGCGAATTTGCATCTCTTCCGGTGCTGTAATTCAGTAGCTTGCGAGTAGGCCAGAGAAATTTTTTTAATCGTAAAAATTTTAAAAATTTTAGAAATCCTCAACCTGCATGCCAACTGATTCTTGATATTCAAAACGCAGGCATCTCATTAATCACCACTTTATGTACCAGCAATATCAAGACCTCCCAGACGAACAGTATAGAGAAGATGTCGCTGGAATACTCCTGCATGTCGAACGCAGGTAAACCAGGCGTAAGCTGGATTTCCACATACATTTGTTCGAAATATATTTGCTCTTTACTTCACCCTCATTTCATACCAAAAAAACAAGTTTTACAACTTATCTTGCACCTTCTCCGGATTAGTTGTGGAAAGTGTTAGCAAAAAAGACCAAAAGAATTTGGTTTTAAGACCAAAAATTGGATCGAATTATCAGCAAAGGTTAAACATGACTCAGCTCAGCATATTATTCGTGGCTAAACGAAAAGAAATCAATTGGCTTAATTACAGAGAGATGAAAGTGAGAAAAGCATTGCTAGTAAGACAGATATGTGAGTTAAATAATACTAACTATTATTGTACGAGCGTGAAATAAGCTGAGTTAAATACAACAATACCGACATTAATCAGAACTATCATATCACATCATTCGTAAGATATTTTTGATCAAACAGTGGTACTATTTTATACTGCTTTACACAATGCAAACTGAAAAAAAAATAACAAAAAGGAACCGGAAGAGATTACACAAAGAGCTGAAAAGATACAAAGAGGGAAGAAACCAAAAATGTCGAAAGGAACTCACAGAAGAGCTGCTCATGTTTGTAGTCCTCCAGAGAACGTGGTGTAGCACCACCAACCGGTGCTTCTTGCCCATCACCCGATAAGCCAAACAAAGGCCTCTAGAACGAGAATTCTGCAGTGAACAAAAAAAAGTGTAAGCAAATTCATGTTAACACCAAGAAATGATAACATGCTGCCCTATATTCAGATAAAACCTCATTTATCAGAAATTGCACATCTGATGGATCCATTATTGGTATGGATTTGCAATGTACCTTCGATGAACAGCCCCCTTTCACTGTTATTCCAATCCTTTCAGCTGAAAGCCAAAGCGCTTCATCCAAAAACGAGCCCCTGCTGGATTGTACACGTCGCATTGCAAGTTCATTACGGCCAAATACCACCAGAAAACCTTCAAAATTGAAATGACCGTGACGCAGTTAAAAGGAAGTGATTCGTTTGCATAAGATGTAATCTCACTGCGAAAAGCTCATGAGCTCGTAGTCGACTGAAAAGTTATCGAATGAAGATTGACAATGCAATGTAATAATTGGCTGTTCCAATATTTCAGATGTTCAAAAACAGCCACTAGCTGCTGCAGTCCACAGCTTTCAACACAACACAACATGCCAACTTAGCAACTCCTGCACAGAATTTTTTTCATCAGCTCATTTTTTTTCGCGCATCCTGCTAAAATGTATCATTTCTTAGCATACCAGATATAGTACTCACCTGTTTTTAAGTGCAAACGCCTTTACAATTTGCTGTATCCTCGGCATCCCTCTGATTGGATTTCGAACTTAATCCATTTTTTAATAAAGGAAGTAGCCACAGCTAATCCATTTTTTTTAACCAAAAAAGCAGCAGCACCTCCCCCTCCCCCGCCCCGCCTCCCCAAGTATCTCAGTCACAAACGCTATGAATAGTTCCTATGGTTGATGCAGTAACGCTTTATATAAAATCCCGAAAGTAGTAGCACCTGTGGTTAAGAGACTGACTGTTGCACCTGCTAATGCTCTTCCCAGCAGAATCCCTTCGCCAAATTTCGGAAGAAATCAGCAACGGAAACGCGAATTTTTGAAATAAAATTTACCGGAGCCGTTGAATCGAGCACCACATGTACGTGGGGAAGGTATCCAGCGATCGTAGGAGGTCGAAAGTGGTGGTGACGACAAGGTACTGAAAAAGCAAACACAAAAATGTGCACATCAAGAATTTCTTACTTTGTAAATTTATGATGAAATACCTTTTAGGGACAATAACTGGTCGATTTTCTAAAGTGACACTGTGAGGACCGCTTCCGACTGAAGCGCAAAACTGTACTGAACTTTCCGGACGTCGCGGAATATCCACTGACTGGGGAGTGAATACCTTGAAATGCAGCAATGTATTTTCAGCGACACAACTTTAATTATATTCTTCCTGGCTCCTCAAACGTTTCAAAAAATCAAACTCGTCTTCTTGCAACCTTTCATTACTTTTATCTCCGAAACAGGATTTGCAGAAACCTTATACTGGCGCACGCTAAGAAACCAAGACCACCATTAGCTGGCTTATAAATCTCCTGAAGAAATCAACGACAGCCTTGCAAAGGGATAACTGTTGCAGGGATGTATTACACCTGAACTGCCGCCGACCAACTTCTGAGCGTATCGTTTCTCATGTACAGCGAAAAGGTGCAATGTTTCGACTTCTGGCTCAATGAGTAAAACTTGCAGGTTAATTTTTATGCATTACTTGCATCTACGCAACACATAAAAGCATATTGTCGAGGAACTGTATGTATGCGTGAGTGCGTGTACGTCTGCACCGAGTTTTCATCCTATGACCTACAAATGTTACAAGGCTGAAACTTTGGGAACTTAATTCTACACGCACGTACGGACCTCCATCCCAAAAATGGGCGCTCTTATCCACGTGGCTCCCACGTATGGGACCGTGAAAGTTTATGGCCAGCAGGTTGCGAACTCGAGAATCAGAGAAGCTGGAAAGCTGAAAT